ACTTAGAAGTTTGATTAGAAGTAGCTTATCCAAAGTGTTATTGCGTTTTTCCATGTTTTTTTTTTTTGACCTTGCAATGCAATGCAATAAATATGCCAAAGTTTGCATTTGCAACTTGTTTTGCTCTGAAGTGAAAGCATCGAGCTAAAAGAAGTCTTTTGGTTAGCGGGAAGGAACCAGTAACCAAATTTTATCAGCCAACAACCAAATTTTCGAGTTCATTTCTCAGATCGTTATGTACGTTATTTAGGCAAGCTTGTCTTATGCTGCTCACCTTTTATTGTCTGACGAATTAAACTCCAAAAATATTAGATGTGCAACTTTTTCCATTCTCGATTCTTAGCATTAATCCGAGGCCTAAATTATTAGGTAAGGTTACGATAGGGTTTGAAAACCAGTTTTAGATGTGTTCTTTTCATACCATTTGGCAAAGGGGCTCCATACATATTGAGAGTACAGTTTGTCGAGGCAGTAATATGCGTTGTGTGCAGCCACTACACAGCACAAAGCGCATATTACTGCCTCGTCAGCCACGAAAGTTAGGTGACTGAAATTTTAGCGTAGCATCCCCTGCTTACGTGTGACTCCGCAAATTCTCAACGTCCGCGTGAAAGTTTTGGCAAGAATTTCAGGAGGGCGTTTCCTGCCTAAGTAGAAGCTTCACGAACTCTTGTTCAGTTATTAGGTATGCCGAAGTCTCATGTACGGTCATTTGAAAGTGTTGTTGAAAAAATCACTCGAAAGCCACAAAATTAGGAGGTTTCGAGGTTCCAAATTCAGCTTTCACGTGGCGGTGCGTGAAATTTTCGACAGGAAATTTCGCAACTTGAGGATGGGACAGGACTTCTACTATTTTTGCACAATCCAAGGTACAAAGCAGGGGAAATCTTTAGCAGGCAAAAGTTCGCTGGATGGAACCGCATGAAACGAATGATGCTTTCGTGCGCATTGTTATTTAATATGCACTTTGTGGTATAGCACTGTAGCGTTGCAACAGTCTGCTTGTTTGTTTGTCTGTGCCGCCCTGTGTTTGTTTGTTTGTTTGCTTGTTTATTCGTATGTGTGCGTGTTTGTGTGTTCGTCTGTCCGGATGTTTCAATTGGACATCGGAGTAAGCCTTGCTGCTGAAATTTTTCTCAGTGGGGGTTTTTTTTTCTTGTTAAATTTTGTCAACGTTTTAATATCTTGACTAAGTAGCTGAACTGTTTAGAAAAATTCTCGACGCCAGTGCTGTTTTATTAATTCGCGAAATCATTCGCTACGGAATAAAGTGGAAATGAGGGATAATATAACCTATTTGGCTGTTGAAGTGAACTCTTGTGGCTTATTCTCAACAATAAAACACATGGATCTGCGCTGAAAACCATTAAACTTAGCTGTTTCTGCTGAAAATTTACTAGCAGTTCATTTGCCTGATACTGACCAGCCAGTCGCTCTTTAGTCATTCTCCTGTCCAGACTTCACTCGGTCGATAACACTGTTGAGCAGCTTTTTTGGTACAGACTAAGAGACTTTGATTCTTCGACACATGCACGATCCATTGCACTCTCCTTTGGTTTTGCAGCCAATCGTGCTATTTCATGCTTTTCCTTACAAGCGTATTTATTTCAGGAAGAAGGACACAGACGGGCAAGTAGCTTTCAAATTAGACGGCGGACGTTTCAAGAAAACCGAACTTCAGGAGCCGTGTCCTGACATATATTTGCGGACATACAAGTTTATATGTGATGCTGTTTATAAAATCACCATTACATCTCGGCCTAACGTTGTCTTTAAGTCAGTCATTCTTATCCGAATTTTTTCAGTGCGTTTTTTCTTTCAAAAAAAAGTGCATTCGACTTGCTCATACTTTTTTTTTTCTTGTAATCGCCTTGTGCCGGTTGTGTCTGTCTAACCTCCATTTTGGGCTGTTTACTTAGTGTCGATTTGATTTGAATCAGGGTTGGAACTGTTTCGCAGGCTGCGCAAATTTATTCTTTCAAAACATCCGTTTTTCCTCTTTATTCGCCCTCACATTAGTGCAGTTTTTGCACATATGACACAGTTGATTTAACTCACATTTCTTTGTGGCGCGACAGTTGTCCACTTTTTTTTGCACCTCCACCATGGAATCGTATTAACAACAGCCTCTTTTTGCACTTCTTAACGCTGCCTTGTGAATCGCCAACACTTTACGGCAACGTTTTAACTCTCGAAATCTTTTAGTTTCCGTTTAATTTGATAACAAACGTCTGCACACTTGAGTTTTGTCTCTGTGGAGATCCTCGGATTTGACAGTCAGAACTGACGGCGCTAGGCTAATTTTGTGCACAAACGAAGGAAGATGTGGCCTTGATCTGTTACTGCCTTCATGGTCTGTCTCCTTCCCATCAAATGCTCAGTATCTGTTGTGTTGACTTGCTACGTACTCCATCAACACAGTGAACAACTACTGGATACTGCTGGCAAGAATACAAATCCAGCTCGACTCTTCTAAGAAGAATCGAGCTGGATATGTACTCTTGCCAGCAGTATCCAATAGTTGTTCACTTTGTTGAAGGAGAACTGTACAGGGGCATTAAGTGCGTCAAGCGTCGGTCAAGTCGAAATCATTTGTCACTTTTCCGTTTAGCGCAAGCTCTGCATTATCATTCTGTGGTCACAGTGTTTTATTAATATCATCTTAAAATATCTCTCCATTTTCAATCACTCCTTCTTTGAAGCGCTAAAGATTTCCAGCCACTTTCAAATAGTTTTTAAAACTTCTTGGCACTGAAACTTCAGACGACCCAAAATTTACTCCTAAAAACAAACGTCGCTTGTTTAACGTTTCTGAAGTCTCTGCTGAGAAATCTGGATCCAGTTAAATGTATGTATGTTCCGGAAGAGCTACTGCCTGAGAAAATGGGATAGATTGCAAATGCATATGAGTCGAAGTGCAAAAGGGAATAATCGCTATTCGAAAAACATACAACGGGCAGCGGAGACGGATTTGCATTGCGCCACGGTTTAAAAATTAAAATAAGAAACAGCTTTGTTTTGACATTCTTTTTCAGCGAACTCAACATATCAGGAAACAGCATGGAGCTACATTTGGATAATGGCGTGTACAGCACTGAATGGGATACCACTGTTTTTCCGGTCACTGCAAAGGGCAGCCGTGAATATCTCAGTCTTTGCTTGCAGGTAAGCTTTAACTTCGCTCCCTTGTTTTATCGTTCTTGTGCGTTTTTGTTTCAATAGTACAACAGAAACGCATTTTGGCCAGATCTCTGTGTGTGTTTGTGTGTGTGTGTGTGTGTGTATGCGTGTGCGTGTGTGTGTGTTTTTGTGGATATGTGCGCGTGTTTGTCAATACCAGAGCAACAAAAGCTAGGAAGCTTAAATTCCGGCAATATGAATCCGGCCGTACACGAAGTCATAAAATTAGGATCACTTCATATCTCTTTTCTCATTCAAACCCAAATTCGAATTTCGCAATTCGCGAACCATATTAGCGATTTCAGAAACGAAATCCATACCAATGTACGGGATTAGAAGCCTAAAACCAACTCCTTTTGGATTGTAACCGAGTCCTATGAGCAATTTTTACGACGCGAAAGCGATAAAATTACGAACTCCGAATTTTTAGAAATTAATTCATTGCATTACGCAAATTAAGTTCTAATTAACATTTAAGATTCACTACTTTCTGACCAGCGTCTCTAATGTAGCTTGAGACTGTATTTATGAGTTCAGAACAGAGCGAGAAACAAGCACAGAGTTTTTCCGATATCAAATTTTAAGCTTGTTGCGCTCCGTAGTCTCGCTTAAAACACAGCCGTAAAAACTCAGTTCCAAAAGCGATGCAAGTTAAGAATCTAAGTTTCATTACAATTCGTGCACTGAATAGGCAAAAACCATTATTGACAAAGAAAAACTACTTTCTGTTTGTTTTGTCGCATTTATTCGCTGTGTATTGTCGCAACAACTTATTAAACCTTCGGCAACCGACCGAAGCATTTCCTTTCCTTTAATGACCATGTCACGGCGATGCCAGTTCACGACGCTGTAACTGAAAACTCGATAAATTTCAGTGATACCTCGGCTACTTAAGTGCTGTGTTGGATGAAGACGCACAAAAGTTAATTTCATTGTCCCCAAAAGCAAATTTGATAGGGACTCTGTGGATATAGTCTTTCGTGATATCCATCCGAATTTATGTCGAAATTCTGAATTTGAGTGGTGATGTAAATAATAAAATGTAAATTGGTTCCGAAACTGTGCCAGATAAATGAACAGATGAAAGAATCTTCAGGGTCCAGGAAAGACAGTACGAAGAAAACTGCAAGCGAAATTTTA